TTTACTTATTTTATTTAATTACTCTCTCTCTCTCTCTCTCTCTCTCTCTCTCTCTCTCTCTCTGGCCATCGATACAACTGCATTCGGAATTTATTTCCAATTTTAAATCCACCGCGAATTACGCGCGTCAGCGATTTCGGCTTTTGTTAACGCATTTGTGAGGCGGGAGAACCGCGCCGTTATCGCGATCGTTTAATCCGACACAACACGCGGATCCGACACGCCACGCGATGTAACCGTTGATTTCGTCATCGGCCGCGTCGGAGAACTTTCGGAAGACGTGTTTCTCCGTGAATCTCCCCGTTTCCGGGCTCGGGACGAACGTCGACGCGGAATGCCGATTCTTTGTTCCCGGTTTCGCTTGTGTTGTGCCGTTAAGCGGCTCGCATGCTGAAACACCTGACGTCGCCAGGCGGTCGCCTGGTCAGGCTGGCAGGCAACAAGCAGCCAGCCATCCAGCCAGCCATCCAGTCGGCCAGCCAGGCGGGCAGGCAGCCAGGCGGGCAGGCAGCCAGGCAGGCAGGCAGGCAGGCAGCCCGCGTCGTACGTAAGTACATACCTGTGGCAGGTGAATCGAGTCAGGTGCTCCAACAGATGGGCGCCTTTACTCGAGAAAGCGTTATAAAAGCGGTCTATCATAAATGTGGGTTACTAGCTATGACTAACGCCCGACGGTAGAAACGAGCTTACGCTCGCGCGCGCGCGCGCGCGCGCCTATAATTTGCGAATTACTCTCGCACAGTTTTCACCTAATAACACTCTGCCTGAAAAAGCCTCGAGATTAATCTCTAGATATCACCTCGGTGTATTTATCTGAGAACTTACGACGGGACGGTCGTCTTCGCAAACTGCGCACAACTCCGGAGTAAATTCATGAAAGACCTAAGAATAAGGGGAAACGTAGAGCCGTAGCGATCGTTCGACGTCTTCGTTCCTTTTCTCTCTCGCACGAATTCCGCGATGCATAAATCGTTATATCTCGTGGATTAACAGATCCTCGATTTTACCGAGCCGAGAAGAGGAGGATTTCTCGCCGCCGGCGAAAGCCAGTTCGAAACGTCCTTCGACGGCGTTTCCGCGCGCCTCCGCGCCTGAGGAAGAAGTACGACGAGCGCGCGTACTGAGTGTGAGTGTGCGTGTATGTCTTCTTCTCTTTTCTTCATTCTTTTCGTTTCACGGACACGTGGCGCGCGAATGGCATGCGGCGCATGCATGCGAGCGCGCGTCCGTGTGCGTAAGAGCGGAGCCGTATGTGCAGTCACGTGTAAGAATGGGACAGCGAAAACGTGACGCGATTATGCATTCTCGCTACGTCGTCATTTCTAGCTTGGTGCACGAGTCAGCGGCGAGGTAGCGGTCTCCGCCGCGTGATATGGTAATTTTATTAAACGTTCCTATTTAAAGGACGCCGCGGGCGCGGCGTAATCGCGGAATGAGCCAAGCGTCAACGGACGGCGCGCGTTATTAGCGTCTATCGATTATTCACGTGCGAAAGTAACACTTTCGGTCATTGCGGGGACGATGTAACGAGCGTTCGTCGATTCGGGAAGCGGCCTGGGAAGCGGCAAATCGATCACTTAATCGCGATCCATGGCGGCAAATGTTAATTTGACCGACGTCATTAGCGCGTATTTCCAAATAATGGCATAGAATTGGTCTGCAAACAGGGTTATCCCTTTGTATTTCCAACAATCCGATTTTCACTTGCTGTTGGCTTTAAAGAAAGAAAACATTTACGATACAACGAGCTAAATTCAGTTTCTTTCAATGTAAATTATTTGGAATACAAAAATTTATAAAATTTCGTAATAATTACTTATAAATTCACTCACGCCCACGCAAACCTACTTGAAAAGCATTTAAAAATATATGCAATTTAATTATAGATGGTAAATTCGTTTACATAATGTAAAAATGCATTTCATAAGATGGATAACGACATTACCCAAAAACGAGAACAATTTTCTGAATTTTGTAACCCCGTGTATACAAAAAAAAAAAATAAAATGACATTATTTATAACTTTGGTTATTTTCGACAATTATCTTAAGTTGATAGTCTATGCAAGCATAAATCCAAGTGGTGTCTCCGAGAACAAATGTCCTCGTGCACGAGCGGAATGCCTGGAGACTCAAGCTCGGAACAGCTGCCGGCACTTCGTCCACGTCTGATTAGACGAAAGCAAAAATATGTTCCCAAGTAAGATGTTATCGTTTCAAATCATAGTCGTTCCTCGGCCCGGGCCAGCCATTCCTCTCGCGGGACGACCCAGCTGTTCCGTAAAATCGAGCCATAGAGGCCTTTCGACGCACGTCCGTCGACAGGCATAGCTAAATCGATGTACGATAAAATATTTTAGTTGGTTTTTAGTAGCTAGATAGTTATTTGTATCTATCGAAGATTATTACGTCGAAGGTGATTATCATTTTTATTTTTAGAGATTTTACAAGGAAACTCGAGGATTGCTGATAGAAGGAAAAAGGAGATGATAATTTTAATCTCTATGGTATAACAATGTAAATAGTATAGTTGCGCATTTTGTAGCGTATGCTTTGCATAATCTAACACGTATTCCATCATTACGTGAGAAATTCAATTATGTTCCTTAATGCAAGGTTATCTTATTTACGTTTTGTTTTTTAATGCGAGATACACACAACGTTGTGCGATGCAAAAAGCGAGACACGAGTGAGTAAGTGATCGTGAGGTGAAGCGGATTCTTGCATTAACTAACGCGTTTATTTCTAATGAGGCTTATGTAATGTACTCTTATAGTAGTAATTTACCTGCTGCTCCACTTAAAACGCAAAGGAGATCGCGATAAAAATACCTCGCACAGTTTGTCAATTTCATTGTGCTGATTTGTTGCGATTTTATTGCATACGTGATTCATTCTTTTCACCGCGACTATATTAACAATTCATAAAAAAAGGTGCAATATATCGACGCATATTAAACTTCGTTCAGTTATTGCGATTAATGCAATCGCGGAAAGAACTTCTTTGACATTATGTATAATATATAGCAGAAATAAAAATTTCCAACACTAAAAAAATTTAATTAAATGAATAAAATAATAACCCGCAATAAAATTGAATTTTTCGAATTAAAAGTTATTTAGTTATTGCGACTAACATAATCGCAGAAAAAACGAGTAAGAATTTAATATAACAGAATAAAAATATATTAAATTAAATTAATCATCAAATTGATGTAAATATAAAAAGAAAGTTAGTAAAATAATACGCAACAATTTATAAAATTAAATCTTTTGAATTAGAAAAATAATAATACTTTTCATCTCTTGACGCTCTCGATGGTGTAACATCTCGATCGCTTTCGAGTTTTCGTTGCAATAATATCAATTTAATTCCGACGACATGGCAACTCTATCGTGTTCGGTTCCGCGCGTTTTCTGCGGTTGGATTCTCGTTTTAATACGCTCGGAGGGAAGCTCATTGTGCCCGAGCGAGTCTCACTCTGCACCGATTCTCGCCGCTCGTCCTCAGCGGCCACGGCGAAAAGGAAGGATTCAAGGTCAGCGTGTTCTTCTGCACTCGCTGCAACTCGCGCTGCACCGCGCCGGCACCTCGCGTATTATACGCGTCTTTCCGTGGGCACTCGTCGAGCCCTGTCTCTTATTACGCATAATATTACAATGCCCTCTTTGAAAGAGCGCATTGTTGGCTAAGAATTTGAATGTTTCAACCATTTCCTGCCCTACATTTACGTACGTACGTACGCACGTACGCGCAATGCTCGTACGAAAAATTCTCAAAATCAAATGATTCCTGAAATAGTTACCGAGGAAGTTCCCAAGGCCTGCATCTGTTTGAATATTTAAGAACGATTTGTGAAAACGATACGGCCGATCCTTGGTGAGCCCAAGGTAAATTCGCATGAGCTACGGATACTTGTATTATGATGTCAGAAAAGTGAGAGAATCGCGAGGAAATACACGTGAGTGAGCCTCATGGTAAGACAAATCGCTCCACTTCGATCTAGAGGCAGAATATTCATCATCCAATTCTTATTTCAAAATAAGATCACTTTAAGTTACGTCCTAGTATGCGACTCTGTGATTGTGGTGGTGGTTTACGACCATCTTAAAGTATGTACTTGAATACACGGAAAAAAAATAATTTTAAATCAAGATAAAGATTCTCCTGTATAAGCAAGAATATTATAACCTTCTTAAAAATTATATTTTATAATATAAATTATAAATAATATTTTATAACTGATCAAATTGTATTTTATAATTTAATTGAATTTGCATTGAATTTGCAAGTAAGAGATGTTCTCATAAACACAAATATTATAATCTTCATATAGAACATTTTTGAGTTAAGTAAAAATAATAATTATATCGATACAAATTTAATCAAATCTAAAGACTAAAAGAAGAAGATTATAATAATTTGTTGCTTATATGAGAATATTTGTCTCGATTCAAGATTAACTTTTAGGTATAAGAATGAATACTGGCCTAAGTTTCGGAGGCGAAATGAGAGAATCGCGCGGACGAGCAGAACGGTTTTCAACTATGTAGTAAAACGGCGTTATGAATTGTAAAGACACTCGAGCGTTGTAAGTTATTTGCCAATTCGGCGATATGGTATCGTGCTAGTACTACGACGTATAATGCGGTGACACATCACCACGTTGACGTTTTATCGCTGAGAAACGCGATATAGGCGACGATGAATTTTCGTGCGCGATATCACGAGGGCTTCTACGCTACGCGATAAATATTTATATCATTGCGGAACATTCGTTCGGGAGTTCGTATCGCTTCGCCCTTTATTTTTCACGGAGATGGCACAGCCCCGACAATTTACAAGCATTTCTCATTTTACGTACGTTCCGTATTTTACCGAGATTAAAATACCCGGAAAAAATCT